GCTGCATGACCGAATATGGAAGAGTCTGAAAAGAAAGAATTAAGGAAGTCCGTTCAGGGAGCTCAGAGTAAACACAAGCATGTGTGTGTGTGTGTGTGTGTGTGTGTTCATGCTGCTCACCTCAATATAAAACATCTTTGATTTGACCTATAAAGTGACACTCATGATGGTGATGTTGTCATATTGTTTCAGCAACGTGTTTGAACCAGTTTATTTATGTTGCTACTACATGAAGCACTATTTGGTTTAGATTACATGACTAAACATTTTTATAGTAAACCCCTGATTAAAATTTTGTCTGTCATTAAATCAAGTCATTAATGCAACCCAAGAATTAAAGGATTAAATCCATACGGAATTGGGTGAACGATTGCGTTTTTCACATTTTCAAAATGTTTTATTAGTTATTACTCATATTAGTTCATAAGTTACTTATATTAGATCTGAAGTAATTGATTTGGCATGTTGATTTTTTCTGCAGCAATCCAAACAGTCGAATTTCTTGTGTAGTGTAAGTTTGCCAATAAAACTTGGGTTATGTCATATTAGGCATGGTTCTATGAAACAGATGTCTATTTTTAGACTTTATGTCACACATTCTGTTATTTCCACAGTTTAGTATGCGTTGATATTTTTAGCATTGGTCGGTGATTTTATACACCAAAGTCCAGAAGTTACAGTTACCTTGAGCACACAAACCGGTCTTCATACTAATGTCATCTGCAGGATGAAGTGTGCAGAGTGCGCGAGATGAAGTGTGGACAGTATCAGTGTGCTTCAGTGTCTTTACATAGTCTGCCATCTAGTGGCTGAATAAGAAACTTTAGAGGCGAAAGATACGCTCTCAGAAAAATAGCTACAAAGCTGTCACTCACTGGGGCGGGAGTCAGGACCCTAAGGTACAAAAGCTAAAATGTGCATGTTTGTTTCCATTTTTTTACCCCCAAATGGTGCATATTAGTATCTTAGAGGTACATATTAGTTCCTTTTAAAAGGGTACCGTCCCAATGACATGTTTTGACAAAGTGTAAAATCAAACATTCTAATAATTATGATCATTATTACAGATTATATTATAATATTGTTCAGTGTTGCATTAGTGATATTGTGTTTTTTTTAATAACACTACAAGCAAAGCGCCATTTATACATGTATATAACAATAAATAAATAATACAAAACTACATTTTTAATAAAATTATTTTAACCTCTTAAGACCCGAGAAAAGATTTTGAAGAAAAAAAATAGTTTTTTTCATGTCTTTACATTGTTTAGAGCATTAAAAAAAAAAGTAAAAAAAAAAAAGTAAAAATTATATTTCATTCCTAAGTTATGCTTTGTCCTCGGTAGAGGACATCGGGACTCAATTAAAAAAAATAAATAAAAAGACATGAATGAACATGCATAGGCAAAAACAATAGATTTTTAAAATAACCAATACATTTTTAGTTTTCAGGATTTTTTTTTTTACCAAACTTTGTATAAAGATGATTCTCAACTATGTTATAACAGAATGATTTGATATACCATTTTTCTTTCTGCAAAATGTGTGTAAAATGGCCATAAATGGGTTTTCTCAATATATACAATGTATCTATAAACGAAATCTAATTTGCATATTAATGTGTTTTTGGGGCAACATGTAATGAAAAAGAAGTGTAATAATGGGAGTAATATTTGACAAGATTTTCATAATAATATATAATATTTCATAGAATA